GCATAAAAAATGTAAAGTCATGGACACTGAAGGTATAATGAGAAACAAATCATACACAGAGGATACTGCAGAGGAGTGTTCATACACACTGGGATTACCAACTTGTACAATGCGGACTACCAGAGCCGTCTTTCGCATCGGGCTTAGTGGTGCGTTGTGCCAGGGCACCAGCCTCTCAGGGGCACCCCAGTGACTGGGGGAGCTGCGTGGCTTTGCTGACGGCCTCCCCTTTCCCTGCACACCTGCCAGCTCTACCCTAGCAACCATATGGCTGGCGGGTGTGCAGCTTGCCTCCCAAGCCTCTGCGGGAGGAGAGCAATCCCTGCAGAAGTTTAGGATGGAAGCTGTGCCACACCAACTATATGGCTGGAAGGCGTGCAGCTTCCTTCCCAACCCTCCGTGGGGATTGCTCTCCTGCAGCAGCATGGGGGGAGAGTTGTGCACACACACACACACCCCAAGGCTGGCAGTACGCAGCTCCCCCTCCCCACTATCCATGGTAATTTGGGGGCACTGGGCGGATATTTGCACCCCAGCGCCGCATCTGCTAAAGGCGGCCCTGCGGACTACTTTAACTCAAATTAGGGAGCCAAACACATACACAAGTGGGGTTTAACTCCAAGAAGATTGCCACTCATTTCCAGTGAATCCACAACAATCTGTTAGAGGAGCTGTCCCTATATGTGTTCTTATCACTGTATGTGGAGGCCTCCACAGATGGAAACTTTTTGGACTGTGATCTTGTTAGAGGTGGAAGCCATTACAAAGCAAACCATAGTTATGCTACTGTTTGATGTAGCATTATGGACTTTGTTTGATGTGGGCAATGAAGGTCCATAGAGCAGAGGATTGATCAGCCACTTTTCAGTGGCAGCAGAAGTAGCAATAGTTCTGACATGGAAAACATTAGGGGAAGTCTGTGCAGCTAGGTGGCACAGACAGGTGTGGCAAATTGTCCTTAGGGAACGGTTGACCCAGGTTATGAAGGTGTCTAGAGGACAAAGTAAACAGGTCAAAATATGGGTGTTTCGTTTTATCATGCACAAAAATAATAAGAAACAAGGGTGACCAATACCATTATATATAAACCTTTGGACACCCTAATCGTAAGGCATTGTTACTTCTCTGCTGTTCTTTCTGTTTAGGAGGGAAGTCATTATTAGACAAAAAAAGTGAGACTAAAAAACGAGTTAAGAAAATGCAGTGATCTAACTACAGCATAAACCTACAAATGCAACCTTATTTGATTGTGCCTGCTGGAAGAGAAAGGTAAAACCATTAGTTTTTTCAAACAGAAATATTCTATGTGCTTTTATATAGAGAAGAAATCATTTTCTGTCCAATATGAGTTACTACATGAATTGTCAATACTCATAGTTCCATAGTTTTGTTTACTTTAACTGAGAAGTCAAAATATCTTAGGTTTGATTGTTTTCCTTGTATTATGTGCTGTCAAATTTTCAGTAAATATTACAGTATATAAATATTTTAAAGACAATGCATATTATCTCTTCCCTATTGCATGTACAGGAAGATGTACAGGAAGAGTCAATGTCTCCAGTCCACCCTCCAAGATTGACTTGTCATTACCCCCATTAGAAGTCAATAATAATAATAATAATAATAATAATAATAATAATAACCACTCCACCCTTTTAAATGGTGGTTGCATTTCGTGTAATAAAGGATTGAATCTGTTGCAGCTTCTTTACTCTGATCTTTTAAAAACTAAGCAAAGCCTGAAAACCGTATTCAGCTTCCGAGAGAGGTGGTGTTGCGAGAAACAACAGCACCATCTGTTGGCGGAATAACGCTAAAAAGTTTGGTCCTCTTTTCTCATGGCCCAATATGAGCCACTTCTTCACACAATGCATGCTTTCATAGATGTAAGCAAAAAGATGTTATAATGCCACAACATAAAACTGTGGAAGTGGGCACTAGTGTGGATTTGTTCCATGCAACTATAGACTCAAAAACAGGCTAAGTGAACCTGTTGTGTTGTTGTTGCTTATCGTTTATCGTGTCGACTCTTCGTGAACCATGGACCAGAGCAGCAGGCATCCTTCTCCACTGCTCCCCGCAGTTTGAGTCAGCTCAATGTTGTAGCTTTGGAGAACACTATCACCATCTCATCTCTCTGTCGTCCCCTTCTCCTAGTGCCCTCATCTTTCCCAACATCAGGGTCTTTTCAGGGAGTCTTCTTCTCATGAGGTGCCCAAAGTACTGGAGCCTCAATCACGATCTGTCCTTCCAGTGAGCACTCAGGTCCTGATTTCCTTAAGAATGTAATGCGTTTGATCTTCTATGCAGGTCCATGGGACTCCAAAGTTCTCCTCCAGCACCATAATTCAAAAGCATCAATCTCGGCGGATCAGCTTTCTTTATGGTCCAGCTCTCACTTCCATACATCCACTACTGGGAAAACCATGGCTTTAACTATATGGGACCTTTTTGTAATGATGCTTCTACTTTTTAAGATGTTGTCTAATTTGCATCGCCTTTCTCCCAAGGAGGCAGGCGTCATTTTAATTTGCGTGACTGCTGTCACCATCTGCAAGTGATCATGGAGCCAGAAAATAAAATCTCTCACTGCCTCCATTTCTTCCCCTGTCATTTGCCAAGGAGGTGATGGACCAGTGGCCATGATCTTCAGTTTTTCTTGAAGTGAACCTAGAAGCTGGGAAATAGCCCTGACAGCAGCTTTAAATTCTTCCTGATAACAGGTTTGCATAAGTTTGCCTTATATTTGGAATGCAACATTTGGTTTAAAACTTTTAAGCTAATAAGCAAATGCAACAACATTATTAAATCATTCAGAAAGAAAGAAGAATCCACAACATTAATACATTTGAAATAAAACTTTATTTCAAGTCAAATATTTAAAAATAATCTGTTTGAACAAAATAAAAATTGTAAGGCATTTACCTCTTGGTGTGATGCTCTAAAATAAATACTCTTTCATTCAAAATATTATGTGAAACTGTTCAACACAACAGGAGTACAGTCTGTTCAGGATCTTTGCATAGAGTTGTGTGATATGCATATATGTACACACAAATACATTTATTGATACAACAAAATAGTGCAATTATCTGGCACTCAGTGGCAATATAAAAGAGCATTCTGTTAGCTTGCAAACAGCAAAATCATAATGTTCACAGAGCCTGAGCATACCTAACTCTGTTAGATGGTTTCCATTGGAAAATACTATTTGACACTAAAAAAAACCAAAAACAAATCTTGATAAGGTCTTCGCACTGTAATTGAAAGAGGATTTATATACAATCCCGCACCCAAATAGTAGTATGTATAGAAAGGTATCTGAAAGAGAGCACAGTGATTTCTGCAGGAAAATTACACATAAATGGGTCCAGGACCATAGCCTACTCGCCAAAATTTAGAGAAATGTGTTTGCCAATGTTATGTAAGTAGCTCTGTGCAAGCAACTTCATTTTGTCTAAATGCAATAAAGTACTCCCCACAATTCACAAGGGGGAGCTGCAAAAAGCAATCTGACAGAACCAGATTTCTATGGAGGAAAAGAAAAGAAAATCTTTCCATTGTGTTGATCACCCACATTTTGGATTGTGGCTGAACTCTTTAAGGCATTTGGTTTAAGAAAAGTTCTGGCAGTCATAATAAGGCTGGCTTAAAATGGCAGAAAGTTAATTGGTTCCCCCCAACTATTTCTTTCGAAATGCATTTTAATGCTTCTAAAATGATCAGCCCTTTAACATAATAATACAACATACATATAAAACCAAAGGTGTTTTCTAACCCTATGGATGTATTTGCATTATATAAAAAAAGACACAAACAGTACGGTTGATAACTTTGTCCAGATCACTGCAAGAAGAGATTACGATTCACATTGCTTGTGAATCAAAATACTGACACAAAACTTTTTTAAAATGTAGAACTGAAAAAGCTTGAAAAGCAGGAAGAGTAAAGTATATTACTTGCTTGTGCTGCAGAGATCCTAACTTGTGCAGGCTTCTTTTTTTGGTGATCTATTACAGCACCCTTTTACTGCCAATGATCCCAAGGACCACTTTTATGATACCCTTATAAAAACAGACAATTCATGTTGTGAATCACTGAAGCTGCACCTACATTCAAATGGCAATATTTTTATGACTGCTGGGGGCATAAGATGCTGTAAATGCATCCTAATTTACCCCTCCACACCATTATTTTGGAATTAATGGAAAAACATGTGATAGAAAATAAGGTGGGAAATGATAACATCCTCGCATATCCTAGCGTTTATGAAGACGTTTAAGATTCAATGCACTCCATTTTATGGCACTAATATTGAGCACGCATGAGAATATTTAACTTGACGTTGGAATGACAAGAATCACAAATTAATTTTATGAATGTCGAAATATAGAGATATTATTTCTGCACTTCTCAGAGACACTTCAGGGAAAGTTGTGTATCTGAGTGTTCAGACATACAAAAAATAATAATTCATCTGTGATTGCCACTATTCATATACGAATGGTGACATACACCTAATGGCACTGTAAGGTACATAAAAATGTGTAAGGTTATTGGTTTAACTAGTTTTCAGGTTTAAATAGTAGATAAAATATATATGATTCTCCTGACTAAAATTAGTCTGTTTATAAACAGGCGTAGGCCAAAGGTTCAGGTAGTTACATCAAATGGGTTTGGAGACATGGCAGCAACCATTTTTCTTGAACATAAAGAGCTTAAGATAACCTTCTTGAATTGAGTTTTTTTGAGTTAGTATTCCTATGGTTACACACACACACACACACACACACACACACACTTAAACAATGGTACTGGGTCCTGCATGTGAAAATCTTTCTAGCAATTTTCTTGAATTCTTTTGTTGAGCCACACAAAGACAAAATGCTCCGGCAAATGCCTCTGTTGTATAACATTATATATGCTTTCATATATATAAAAGCATATATATAATTTCATATATATATGAACAACAGAGGCATTTGCCAGAGCATTTTTTTTTCTTTGTGTGGCTCAACAAAAGAATTCAAGGAAATCGCTAGAAAGATTTTCACATTGTGTAATTGTACCGTTTCTGTCAAGTCAAAGCCTACAAGTCAAAGAAAACCTACAAAACAGACACTCAGTTTTGTCAACCTGGCAAGCTATGTAAACAATCCACATTTATCCTTTGAGAGACAGAGGTGCAAATAAATTTAAAGCACTTTGCATCTCTGGTCAACTAGCCAACAGTATTGTTGCACAGTGTGCCTGGTTTGTAGAAAACATTACAAGAGCTTTAAACAAGTAAAATTAGCTCTTAGGTGGCTAATACTCTGTAGTGCATCACAGTTCACTGACAGGTCAGGTCAGACGCTCAGGAGTATAGGGGCAACTGCTGGGCTTGTGGAGATACCAACTGCATGAATAAGTGGGGTCTATGCATGTGGCTGTCATTATTTGCAAAACAGCAGTAGTTACATGTATCTGCTATTTCATACAGAAAGTGCTTCTGTGGGGTTCAGCAGTGTCATAAATCTGCTAGTGGCACACAAGCTCCTAAAGCCAATTGCACATAGCTGCTGATGACTGGAAAGAAACAACATAAAATTTAAATGTGCCTCCGAATGATTGATCTCTTCGACATAAGATTAAAACAAAGTGCTATTTTATATTCTGCAGCATTCTAGGAGGTTGGATCCAGATTTGCCTTTTCTGTTTGCAGAAGAGATTCACATGGGGTTTATTTCTGGAGGCAATTTTTGTCGGTTTCCTCTTTCCTCTGCAACCCCCAACCCCTCTTCCTCCCAGGCTGGTACAAATTTGGGAGGTTGTCAGAGGATGTTGAGGAAGGAAGTGGGAAATCAGTGCATATTTCCTCTTCTCCCCATCTTCTCACCTAGTGGAAGAATACTCTTAATGGAGTTGCATTTCTGGAAAGTCTGGATCCAACCTCATGGTATTTTTCCTGAATCAAACATTGTTTGAGGTGACTGAAATAAACCTGACAGGCTGTGTTTATTTTATTTTTTATTTTTTTTAAAAAAAAAACTTGAAACAGTTGCTCAAGATGTGCTCTGGTGCTGGCATGATTCATATTTAGCAGAGCCAGCTGCTATGACACATTCTTAGAAAGCCATCGCTTCAGTCTTAGTTTTTGCGTGAGAGTTTCTATGAAAAATTTAGGGGTTTGCTGTGTTAAAGTTGTACAGAAGTCACTGCTTCTTCTTTCTTCTCTGAAGACTCCAGTTGCTCTGGTGGAGGGTTATATATGAAAACTGCTGTAACAGTAAAAATGATGGAGATGACTTTGGCAATGACGCCTGCGAAAGGAAAAGAAGGAAGATTTGCAGCATTCTAACAATTTCCCTTTTGCTAATTTAGCGATTAGTGATAGCTTTCGGTTTATCGTGTTGTAGATTTATTTCACACCTCTTTGGAGATCTCAGCAACATAACCTATATTGAAGCTTTGATATTCCACACATTGATTGATTTATTGATAAGTTAAAAGGCAGCCAATTAAGATGCAGTCTACAATTGGCATTGGGCCAGCTGAGAGAGCTATAGAAAGAAGAAGAGTTTGGATTTGATATCCCGCTTTATCACTACCCGAAGGAGTCTCAAAGCGGCTAACATTCTCCTTTCCCTTCCTCCCCCACAACAAACACCCTGTGAGGTGAGTGGGGCTGAGAGACTTCAAAGAAGTGTGACTAGCCCAAGGTCACCCAGCAGCTGCATGTGGAGGAGCGGAGACGCGAACCCGGTTCACCAGATTAGGAGTCTACCGCTCTTAACCACTACACCACACTGGCTCTCAAGAAAGAGGCAGAAATAGCGCTCTGTGTAGAGGGAGGCCTGCCAGACTGCCATGTGGAAGACTGCAAGGCCAGTGGCACAGCATATGCCCGCGCAGCCCAGGGCAGGCACATTCCTGAGGGGTGCATTCCAGAGGGGCATAGAGGGTGCCCTCCAAGGCGTGGGATAGCCAGACGAGCACCCACCAATCCTGCTTCCTTCCTCTCTCCTTCCTGCTTGCCTGCCTCCTTCCCATCCTCTCCCCTGCCTGCCTGTCTCCTCCAGGCGGGAGCATGGGGCAACTGCGCACCACCCACAACAGCGCACCACCTGCCCGTGACTCCTGGCTGGAGGAGAAGGTGGGAAAGAGGCAGGCGAGCTGGAAGGGGAGAGTAAGGAACCAGCAAAGCAGCACAGCAGCTCCCCCCGCCCCTTCCTCCAATAGCTCACAGTAGGGGTGGGAGTCCAAGTCGTGGTTGGGTGGAGCACTGAATGTCACCCCTGCTTAGGAATGACACCTGGAGCTCCCCCCACCCTGCACCCACCTTCCTCCCCCAGTGTGCAAGGCTGAGGCTGTGTGACCATACCAACCAGGGCAGCTGACAGATTCCAACAGCGTGCCCACAAAGTGCGAGTCTCACCATTGGGTAGCCCCCCGCCCCCCATCTTGGTAAGCAGCAGTGACACCTCTGCTGGGAGGCTATTGCTGCAGCTCCACCCGACGAGGTGAGTCTGTCCTGACAAGGGATAACTTCCAGTTTCCTCTTTCACGTCTGTTGTCAGCCATTTATGGTCTCATCACTGCATTTGTAGGAAACCAACATCTGTCCATGTCTGTCACAATAACTTCCAGCAAGCATCAGGGCACGTTAGGTTGCCCCTCGCGAGCAATAAAAATAAGAAACTGCTGATCCTCAGACCATGTACAGTGGTACCTCGGGTTACATACGCTTCAGGTTACAGACTCCGCTAACCCAGAATAGTACCTCGGGTTAAGAACTTTGCTTCAGGATGAGAACAGAAATAGCACGGCGGCAGCGGGAGGCCCCATTAGCTAAAGTGGTACCTCAGGTTAAGAACAGTTTCAGGTTAAGAACGGACCTCCAGAACGAATTAAGTACGTAACCAGAGGTACCACTGTACAGTGGTACCACAGGTTACATACGCTTCAGGTTACATACACTTCAGGTTACAGACTCCACTAACCCAGAAATATTACCTCGGGTTAAGAACTTTGCTTCAGGATGAGAACAGAAATCGTGCTCCGGCGGCACGGCAGCAGCTGGAGGCCCCATTAGCTAAAGTGGTGCTTCAGGTTAAGAACAGTTTCAGGTTAGGAACGGACCTCCGGAACGAATTAAGTACGTAACCAGAGGCACCACTGTATTCAGTTTGCTTAGCATACCAGACAAATGAGAAACAAAACAGTTAATTCTAACTACAAGGTGCCTCCCCCATCCTATATCCTCACTGGAATTGTTCAGACTCAGACTATTTGGAGCACAAGGCTTTGGAGAGATACTTACTTATGCCCACTAGCATATAGGCCATTCTGTGGTTGTTATAGGTCCAACATGATCCTTTACGTCCACACTTATCTATATCCCAAAGTGTACAGGTACTGTCTATTGAAACACCAAAGAGGATTGGCCCAGGTATGCTGCCTGTAGAAAATGGAATGGTGAAAAACAATAACTGAAAATGCAAACTCAGATGCCGAAACCATGCTGTAAAAGAGAGGTGTTGTACCAATAGTGGACTTCTATAACCAATAAAGAAGGCTCTTCAAGCATTCCAGAATAATATAAATATATTTTTGCCTTTAACAAAATGCATGATTGCAAGACTTAAAGACATAGTTTATATGTCTAAAACTATTACTAATGGCAATAGCAATGTTTTGAATAAACCCTATGCTATCAGTTGACTGTCAAAAAAAAATTCATATTTTAAGATTCAGATTATGATCCAGATCCTCCTGTTCTCAGTTACCTCTGCAATGTGCTCTCTCAAACAAGAACATTTCTCTGTGCATTCATGCCTCCAGATCATGCCCTCTGAATGTACAGACTAGCCAGTGTCACCATATTGATGGTTTTCCTCAATCTCTATTAAGTTCTCGCTTGATAAATAATCAAAATGGAAATGAAACGTAGAGCCTGGCAAAGTTCTTAACACACAACTATCAGACAAATTTGGAACTGTTGAAGCAAGGGAGGGCAAATCCCCACACCCACCAATTTTCAGTAATACAGTGACACTCTGAGGGGCCCAATCCACTGATCAAATTTGGCTGATAAGCAGTAGCAGAGTACAGATGGAAAGGCCTGGGAAAAACCAGAAAAAATGGGGGGGGCAGTTTTTTTCCTGGGTTGTTGTTGTTGTTGTTGTTGTTGTTTTGCAATGCTGTTTTTCCCCAGAAAAATTGGGAAAAACTGTGTGGAATATTCAAAATATATCAAACTGTTTTTTCATTTATTTGGGAAAAAATGGCTTGGGGGGACGGGGGGAGGGGGAAATGGAAAAAAACCGGGGGGGGGGTTCCCCAATTTCCCAGGTTTTTTTCCAGGCCTTCCCATCTCTATATGGGAGTTAAGCATCTATCCCACTAGTCTGTTCCATGTCTCCGACCCTGCTCCAGAGCTACAACAGAGTAACAAAGTGTGCTTCAGAGCAAAACTCTGTGAGTTATTATAAGGAATCAGGGAAATATGGCAAGATTGTACTGCTTGGAGCACTATATGTGGCAGTTTATATAGACGAGTTATGGGATGTAGAAGAATATTGCTTATTTAGAAATCAACAATATTCCAGAAGCCTATTCATTTACAAGTTATTTATTACTAAGTTTTGCTCAAAAGAGACGGTGGCTAGCAACATAGAATTTAATGAAATCTAAAAATATTCAATGAAATGAGCCTTTCATGTGTATTTTAAATAAAAAATAAACACAAATCAGCAGCGATAAATTATCAGTGGTATCTCCTCCAGAGTCAATATCAACTTCAGAAAGATATGTTTTAAACTTCAGCCTGAATAAAGTTAATGATAGTGTACATCAGCCATGTTTGAGTCACCTGTTACCTGCATTTGTACAGGTAACATCCTGATCCTTTTCCATAGATAACTATGGAGCCTCGGGGCACCTGTGATCCTTAGAACTGTGAACATTGTTCCTAGTTCCTACTTAAGTATACAGGTTTTAGAAAACATACCCAAAATTCGTAGAAAGAGCATGTGAACCCCCATAGCAAATGATCGGTGCCTTTCTGGTACACACCTGTAAACCAAAGTTTGATTTATTGTTTAATAGAGATTTATACCATCCTTCAGCAGAAATTATGAGGATGGTTGACAGTATAAAACATGCATAGCTATCTTTAAAAATACAAATGTTAAAACAGCAGTGAGGGAGAGCACCAAAATTGGTATGAAAACCTCATCCAATTTTAAAATACATTAAGATTTGAAGTTTAAGGAAATGGCAGCAATGTAACTTTCAAATCTACTGCTTCTTCTGTTCATCTATATTTTCAAATCATGCTTCCATTTGTTACTTCTTATTTAGAAGTATGAAAACAGTTTTTGTTTTCATTCTGTAATTTTGTAGATACAATGCCTACTTAAGAAAAATGCAGTCTTTAAGAATAAACAAGAGACACAATAAAAAACATGAAAAACAAGAAACTCAAATTCAACAATATATCTGTAAATTGTTCCATGCTGGCGTCTAGTTTTTAAGGAAAGGCAAAATTATTATGTGATTCTACAACATCAAAGAACAGTTTTTGCATCGTATGAGAGTTCCAAAACACACATACACCAAGGGATACTGTTATCCACAAAGAAGATGTTGTTATGCAATACATTGCCTACAAAATATCTTAACCGTTTTGGCTATCCAGGCTGCTGGTGTGAATTCTGGAATAGGCAAAAAAATTGCCACCATAAGCTCCAACCAATACTGATTAGCGTCCGGCCTGATATCAGCACCCAGAATCATCGGACAGCTCCCAGGGCTCTGGAAAACCCACAGTGCCTACCACTGGTGCCTAACTTGGGTCCCTGTTAAATAAATGTCCTTTTCCCAGTGCTGGGCTATAGTGCAGGAAATTAAAATGTTAGCTTCCAGTGGAGACCAAATGACTTCAAACTTGAGTCCTGTTGCTGCCCACGGATGAATAAATCAGTTGTGGGGGAATCCTAGTTTAGGCAAGGGCCCACCTATTTGCCAAGGGCCCTTCAAACCTGGGGAAAAGCCCTGCTTCAGTATACATTTTACATTCAGGTTACTATAGATTTATTATTATTATTATTATTATTATTATTATTAGGAATAGTCAGCCTCTCTATCCCTCTATACATTCAAGCACAGATGGACAAATCAGTCAACTTTCTGTTATCTCAGTTTCTAATTTTTTCCTATCTTAAATTTAACAGCAATTTGCATCGGAAAAACCTTACGAAAATGTGTCAGCCTTTTAGTGCAAGTTTCTTTTAATACGTAATATGCAGTTTTGAAAATATATGCATGTTTGCAAGCAATTTTCCCAAGTAAATGCATTTCACATGCTATGTCCACTAATATATGCAGTGCCAGCCTCCCGAAGCATTCCAAAGGCGAAGTCCGGTGGCTGTTCAGGCTGCCATTCAGGAACCCTCCTCCAGACCAGAGACGGACAAAATAGGCATCATTGACTCTTTTGAGGAATGCATACCAACTTTCCCTTGACAAAAGCATCAGAAGGGAAAAGGCAGTTTTGTAGATTCAAACTACTTTATTAACTGCACAGAAAAAACATTGTCCATGACTGTGTGACTTGAGCAATCCAGCTCTGAGTTCTCCAACTCAACCCAGCTCCATCCTGAGAGCGGAAGAGAAACTCCTCCCAGGCTACGCTGAGAACAGCCTGAGAATTGGCTGCTACTTCCCTTCCCACGCTGTGAGACATCACCTGATGTAAACAGCTCTCGCTGTTTCCTGCCAGCATGGCAACTGGTGGGGGCTGAAATCCCAACACGCCCTTCACCCTAATACAGCCGTACCTTGGTTCTCGGACGTAATCCGTCCTGGGAGTCAATTCAACTTCTGAAAAAGTTTGAAAATCAAGGCACGGCTTCTGATTGGTGGCAGGAGCTTCCTCAGTCGGAAGCCACAGCCACTCACTTCTGGGTTTGTGGCATTTGGGAGCCAAAACTTACCAAGGCATTCACAAACCAAGGTACTACTGTATGTATATTTTTGGCTAGCTTGACTAGAGAACTGCATTGCAAAGTTTAGAAAATTGCGGGGTATTTCAGGGGATGGCTGTATTTCAGTTTGTACCTTGTTTCAGAAAGTAAGGGTTTGGTAACTGAATCAGATTTCTCCCCTATAAGATTCCCCCCACCCATATTCAGCTTGCTTGTGCTATTGAACTTACAGGCAACTTTCAACTTAAATAGGGGTTATGTTCCACCTAAAGCCAAAATCATATATAGTCAGAACGCATTAGGTTTAATGGCAGGTAGAATAGCAAAAGTCTTCTTTTTCCAGACACCCACTCCATTTCTACCCCCATTTACCATATATAAATATAGGTAAAAGGTAAAGGACCCCTGGGCAACTATGGGGTTGTGGTGCTCATCTCACTTTCAGGCCGAGCGTGAGGGAAAACAGAGCGCACGGAAACACCATTTACCTTCCCCCCACAGTGGTACCTATTTATCTACTTGCACTTGGCACACTTTTGAACTGCTAGGTTGGCAGGAACTGGGAAAGAGCAACGGGAGCTCACTCCATTGCGGGGATTCGAACCGCCAACCTTCTGATCAGCAAGCCCAAGGGGCTCAGTGGTTTAGACCACAGCGCCACCCCGTCCCTTTTACCATATATATATATATTCGTAAATCTAAATCCACGTAAGTTGTTTGTTACCTGTACTTCATCATCAATAGACATCGACTATGCTGCTAGTTATATTCATAAACAATTTTACAGATGACCACTCCACTAAAACACACATTAGTCACGTAATGTATGACACTTCCTCCCTCTTAACATCATTTAAAAGGAAGTTAAATAAAGTTACAACATAGTCAATATCCTTCATCTCTACCCAGAATATCTCTGGATTGTATCCAAAGTTAGTCATGCTCAGAGTAGACTTATTAGCACTGAGTAGCACTTTGTGCAAGTGGAAGTAATTCCACTTACACAACCAGGATTTTACCCCCCCCCCCAAAAATGTTCTGGGGGGTTTCCCCAATGCTTCAGAATGGGTTTGTGGAGAATAGGAAGCACACATGAGGAGGAGAGCAGGGAAAGTCCCATTGGACGAGCAGAATTCATTCTGTTGACACATTTATTTAGCTGAATACTGCCCATTGAAATGAATGGGCATGTAACTTAGCTGTGTTGATTCCAGTGTGTCTACTCTGAGTATAACTTAGTTGGATGTAACCCTCTGTTCCTTTCTGAATTGTGCTAGAGAAGGAGGACAGAGGGGGGTAAAAAGAATGAGTGGTTTTTATTTTTTTATTTTAAAAATTTAGAGAGGGAATTTATAGCATTTTGCAGTGATCAGTAAGTAGGATAGAAACAAAATGAAAACTACCTTAGAATGGCCACTGTTGTTGGTGTCACTGCCATGAACGTAAAAACAATAGTGAAGAAGAAAAAGCCAAGGAACAGAGACAGGGATGTACAGTTTGATGCACATTTCCCAGGGGTAGCCCCATAGATGATATTCTCAATGGTAGATTTGGGATTCACAACACAGTCACAGTTGGTGAAGACCTATAAACAGTGCATATATACAAATATGAGCACAACAAATGAAGTAATCACTATTTCCAATATTAGCAATACTGAATAACAAAGTTCTTAACCAATTACAGCAGAAACAGAGAAGATGTTTCTATGGAACTGCCTTCATTTCAACCAGGAAAGGGAGGACCATGAAGTCGATCCACAACTTCTGCAATGCACCTGGAGCACTACCCTGGACATAGGGCTGGTGGAGGAGGAAATCAGGCTTAGAATCTAAGAATGTCCATGTAAGGAAGCTCGCAGGAAGGAAAGTTCCCTGGTCCCCAGCATCCCGCCCATGCCCAACCCAACATTATTCAAGATGGCTTCTCAGTGGGGACATAACTGGCAGTTGGGGAGATGAGGGGGGTGGCAAACTTTCCTTCTACAAACTTCCTTAAGCTAACTTGCCTTATGATCCAAGTAATACAGTGGTACTTCAGGTTACTAACAGTCCTGCTTACAAATGCTTCAGGTTACGAACTCCACAAACCCGGAAGTAGGTGTCCTGGGTTGCGAACTTTGCCCCGGGATACGGATGCAATTCGCTTCCGGGGCCGCGGGAGGCCTATGTAGGGAATGTGCGCCTTGGGTTAAGAACGCTTCGGGTTAAGAACGGACTTCTGGAACGAATTAAGTTCGTAACCCAAGGTACCAATGTAATGTGAACTATCTTGCTGTGTGGAGGAGCAGATCCCTGCTTTAGTTGAAAACTATCACCATAGTTACACACATGAGGCATGGAGAGGCATACATGAGCGGACTAGCCCCACATCCCATCCCATCCTGTCATGCCATCATATGAAAATATTTTATGTAGTGATGAGCATGGAAGAATCAAGATCTATCTGAAGTGAAGAGTTCAGATTACCAGACCAACCCCCAAAACATGCTTTAATAAATTTGTCTTGAGAAAATAACTTCTCTTGTATGCTATTCGTACAAGTGTTGTACAAATGCTAATAATAATTAAGTAAATTAATGAATTAATATACATTTGAAAAGGACACGTTTGCTAAATACAGTGGTACCTCGGGTTCCAAACACCTTGGGTTACAAACACTTCAGGTTACAGACTCCGCTAACCCGGAAGTAGTACCTCGGGTTAAGAACTTTATCTCAGGATGAGAACAGAAATTGTGCGGCAGCGGCAGCAGGAGGCCCATTAGCTAAAGTGGTACCTCAAGTTAAGAACGGTTTCAGGTTAAGAACGGACTTCCGGAACGAATTAAGTTCGTAACTAGAGGTACCACTGTAAGCACTTTTAGCACCCAGAACTCAGAGGCAGACCAGTGGGCCGAATTTGGCCTGAGAAACTGTTTTGGCATGAGGTGTGGGGCAGGCTGCAGTGGAACAACTGGAAGCTTAAAGTATGCTCCTGATTGTACCTTGGAAAGCAGGGCTTGCTTAGCAGCACTAGTCAGCTGACTGGTGTTGACAGTGCACATTCAAAGTGGCTCAGTGTAGCATCCAGTCAGCTGATCTGCAGTGACAGTGAGCCCCACTGAAGTTTTTCACTTGCAAATGCGGTCTGAATGCAGACTATGCCTCCAAATAGACTTTAACCAGTGTTATCAGCTGATCAGCAGCTACAACAAGTCCCTTTGAATTTGTGTCTTCATTGCCAATCAGCTGACTGTGCACCTTCAAAGGGGCTCATTCTTAGTTCCCTATCAGAGCAAGCCCCTTTGAAGCTGTCAGGTGTTATCAGGTGACTGGCAGATTTGTCAGTTGATTGGCAGGTGGCATCAGGTGATTGACAGGTCTGTCCTGCAGGGGATGGGGAAAATTAGGATCCTGCCTGCCAGCCAAATTCATTTTGCCACCCTTTAGACCAGGGGTCTGCAACCCGCAGCTCCGGAACCGCATGTGGCTCTTTTACACCTTTGCCACAGCTCCGGGGCGGATACTAGCAAGGGGAGGAGGCGCATTGTGGCGGGCGCTGTACTGGCTGTGACGTCGCATGGGGGCGGTGCGTGCTTTAGTCATGCACCGTCCCTACGTCACCTTCCCGGTTTTGCGGCTCCCAGTTTTTGTTCTTCTTCAGAAACGGGTCCAAGTGGCTCTTTTTGTCTTAAAGGTTGCAGACCCCTGCTTTAGACCTAAGGTAAATTCTGCATTGTCAACCCAGGATATAAAATAGCAATACCTTTGAACCGTCTTGAATAGTAACAGCAGAGGTACATCCTGCGTAACATGCAGAAAAATACTGGACTCCGTCTGTGCCACAGACTGGTAAATAGTTTGAACGCAAGCATCTACAGTGGGAGTTGCAAGGCGCAGTTAAGTTTGATAATGTGCCTGTCCTGAAACAGAGAGATAAAAGTCAAAGGAGCTAAGCATACACACCTTTTGGTATCTCCTAAGAACATATTCTGAACAATTAAAGAGTAAGAACATAAGATCTCTACAGGATCAGACCACAATCTAATCTAGTCTTGCCTTGTGTTTCCCACTGTGGACAGCCAAGTGCTGTCAGGAATCCCGCACGCAGACATGATATTTATCAAAATATTTATATGCCTGGTTTCAAACAAAATATCAGAGCGGTTCCCGAAAGTTAAACCTAAAATCATACAACAAAAACCATGCAAGCAGTTTTAAAATCTGAAATAAAGGGAAAGTGTAAGTTCTTTTAAAATTAGATATACCAGAGAATGAACCTGGAATGTTTTTCAAACAAGACGATGGACCTTTCAATCCAAACCCTCTGAGGAGAGGACTTCAAATAGATTTAGAGCATAGAGGACAAGGTGGGACCTTGTGGGATTACACGGCACACAGTATGGAGATGAAGTCCCTCCATGATACTTATTTATTTACCATTTTATCTAGGAAATTTATAAACTGCTTGCTCAAAAAAAGAAAAAGAAAATCTCCAAATGGTGCACAGGTCAAATTATATATAAAACATTGCTAAAAGACACAAACCAGTTAAAAATAAATATACATAAAACCATCATTAAGAACAAAGATAATATGATTAATATAATTGAAACAAATGCTAACTAAATCATGTGCCTGGGGAGAGAGGTTTTCAGTAGGTGTCTAAACAGTGCAGTGAACCAACCTTCCAGGTAGGAGGGTTCCCAGCGCACAGCACTGGTCCAGTAAGATACCATGGTTGACAGTTTCAAAAGCCACCGAGAAGAGAAATCAGTAGGGTCACATTCCTTCCGCTTCTCTTCTAACAAAAGTCATCCATCAGAACCAAGGCTGTTTCAACGCTAGACCATGGTGTTGACTGAAATGGGTCCAGAAAGTCCATTTCATCCGACTACACTTGGAGTAAGACTACCACCACTTTCTATTATTCCTTGTCCCAAAAGGAGATATTTGTCAATAGTTAATAGTTATCACAATCTTCAGTCTAGAAGCCAGAATCATATCAAAATCCATTGCTCCAATCTAGAGAACATGAACAGAAAGCTGCCTTTGGGTTGCTGTATTGGATAAGCCCTCAATATGTACTGACTAATAGATGATAAGCTCCGTCAAATGTGACAGGACTAATGAACTGCTCATGAATCCTACTGTGTGTTGTGACAGCCCTGATTAGCTATCAAGTGATACATGCATAATTAGGCTCAGAACACCTAACCCTCAAGAACTAGATGCATTGATTTTTGTTCTCATAGGAGTCTTCTTCTTCTTTGGCAATCATTCGTAGCCGAGTAAGATTGTCATCCATAAACACGGTTTTAACAATGAGTCCCTAAGTGACTGTGGAGGCCAATTCTGGATCCCACACATCCTTCCACAGTGGGGACATAGGTTTCCGGAAGGGAATTGATCACAGTGTGGATTTGTCAAGCGTGCCTTCCTCTTAGCATGTTTCTCCCTTGCGTCCTGAGTTCAAGTGTCTTCAAAACCCATGACACCTTTGGTAAAGGCTGTTCTCCAATTGGAGCGCTTGCAGGCAAGTGTTTCCCAATTGTTGATGTTCATATTACATTTTTTTAGATTTGCCTTGAGACAGTCTTTAAACCTCTTTTGTTGACCACCAGCATTAAGCTTTCCATTTTTAAGTTCAGAATAGAGTAGTTGCTTTGGAAGATGATAATCAGGCACCCACACAACATGACCAGTCCAACGAAGTTGATGTTGACGAATCATTGCTTCAACACTGGTGATCTTTGCTTCTTCCAGTACACTGGTATTAGTTCACCTGTCTTCCCAAGTGATGTGTAAAATTTTTCGGAGACACCATTGATCGAATCTCTCAAGGAGCTGGAGAAGGTGTTTATAAGTGGTCCATGTTTCACAAGCATACAGTAAGGTTGGTAGTACAACAGCTTTGTAAACAGGCATTTTGGTCTTCCTTTGAATGTCCTGGTTCTCAAACACTCTGCACTTCAATCGGAAGAAAGCCACACTCGCAGAGCTCAGGCAATGCTGGATTTTGGCATAAATGTTGGCCCTTGTGTAAAGATAACTGCCCAATTAGAAGTGATGGACATTTTCTAACATTACACCATTGAGTTGGATTTGTGGCACTGCAGAGGGGTTATTTTGTACTTGTTGGTGCAGCACTTTGGTTTTTGGATGTTGAGCGATAGGCCAAACTTTTTGTAAGCTTCTGCAAATATATTTAAGATGGTTTGGAGGTCATCCTCTGAGCATTGTCATCAGTAGTATACACACAGTATACACTCATAGCAGTATACACACAGTCAGGCCCATCTCATTGTTATTCTTTTGAACAAATACTTACCCATTATAATTTTCTGAGACACCCGCAAATGGCGTATTCCCACATATAGCAATTAAAAAGACCATATTGAATCCAAGTGCCACTGAACAAGTAAGGACGATGAACTTGAGTATGCTTTTGCAATTTAGTTTGAGCTTGGAAACTAAGATACCACTTATGATTTGACCTACTGCTGCTCCTGGGACCAACACAAGTCCTGCGGGAAAACAAGGTGACAACAGAGATTGAATTAACATTTATTGTTAATAATAGCAGTAATCAATAGTTTCAGAAAATATAAAACAGTGAACATATAGAAATGGTACATGCACGTAAAACTTTCACAGATAGAAGCAAAAGTGGGTTATAATGCTAATCCTACCCCAACATGGCGCACAGCTACCAACATCAAGGAGGCAGGACTTGTGAAGTGCATCATGTTGAGGCAAGGCTAGGCCCCATTTCCCTTTCTACCCATGAAAGACCTACATGACTATAACACACAAAAAGGGCTTAAGAATATCTTGAATGCCAAATAATATCTAAAACAACCATTAAATCAGTTTATTTATTATTATAATATTTATATCCCACCTTTTCCTTCAAGGAACTCAAGGTAGTGTGCACGATCTTCCCCCTTCCCCATATTGTCACAGCAACCCTGTGGGGTAGGTTCGACCAAGAGGCAGAAGGTCACCAAAAGAGTTTCACAGCTGAGTGGGGATTTGAGCCTGGTGTCTCTCCTAGGTCCTAGTTCAGCACTCTAACCACTGCACCACCCTAGCTTGCAACTCCAAAATCCATCTTACCACATGCTTCAAATCATTTTGATTTTGTACCCATGTGGCTTGCCAGTCAACTTTTGCTGCGCATCACAGGGCCAGTGAACCTAACTGCACTGTTATGCATGAGTCTAATGCCACACACAAAGAGCCGAAGGTTATATATCTTTGATCTCAACTGCACTTTCTCTTCTGGCTAGCATGCTCTCTCAGTGCCAAACTACATGTTACGCTAAGTAGGCTCCCTTTTTTAAAAACATGCCAACTCAAGCTGTGTCTCCAGTAAAGCCTCTTTATGGTACAGCCTCATCCTAAGAGCCACACAAACATATTCTGGAAACGTGTCTTCACATTTGGGGCAGGGGATAGAATTGTGGTCACACACATGGAAAGTAGAAAAAAAGATGACTTCTTAAAAGCTGCTGCTACTACCAATTTGTTACCACCCTAAAATGTTCAGAAAAACTTTCCCACAGCAGCACAAAAAGATGGTATGTCCCCTTTCCAATTCACTGCTTCTGTGTGGGGAAGCAAATCTGAGGAGGACATTTCTGCCTCAGTTTAGAAATATCTGAAATAACCACCTAGTCAAGACCAGTGTCTGACATACCCAGGGCTAATGCAGCAGCAATTAAATTAAGATCTAGCCAACAGGAGTTTCATACTGCTTAAGAATATAAGAACATTCTTCCCTGATCAGGCCAAAGGCTGTCAAATTCTAGCATCTTGTTTTCCAGGTGGCCAAGTCCATGCCCAGGTGAGCCTGTAGGCATTCTTCCCAATAGTGATTCCCAGCAATCAACATTCAGAAATACTGTCTCTGACATAGAGGTATAAACAGTCATTGGGGCTAGTTTGCCTGATTCCTCTCAAGGCGATCAGTGTGCAGGCCAAGAGACGTCAGCTCAGTTCCTAGCTAATTCTTACATCCCCCTCCAACATTCCTCCAATGAAAATAGGGACATCCTATTCAGGAAAAGCAGGACCTTTTGGGGTCAAATCAGAAACTGGGATGCCTTCTGTAATTCCGGGACCGTTCCTAGAAAATAGGGACACTTGGAGGGTATGTTCTTAGCCATGCACTAGGAAAACATATTTGCACAGAAATAAGCCTCACAGGGTTCAGTGGACCATATTCCCCAGTAAACCTGTTTAGAACTGCAGACTGTGTATTACTAATCCAGTTTTACTCTGCTCTTGTTATTAAACTCAAGCAGTAAACAGGTTAAGAGCATATGTATTCTGTAAAATAGATAAGAGAAATAAATTACCCCCTAAGGTGGCTGAATAGCTAGATGTATATCCAAACTGGTTTTCTATAAATTTGGGCAAGAAAGTTGCAAAGCCAGTGGCAACACAGGCTTCCATTGAGGCAGCGAGTACAAGACACATCAGCACTGGGTTCCTCAGAAGCATCTAGGGAAAAAAGGGGAGGAATTATTTTGTGACTTCTGACATTTTCTTATATTTTCGCAATTAACAAGTTTGATAATGCAAATATTGGAACTGATATGGATTTTTGTCACAAAACTATTATTAGGAATGGATGGGTAAGTCTAATTCTGGTTTGCAGCACTTTTGTAATGTGTTCATTTTTTAAAGTCAGTTCTGTCTCCTTCTTGCATTATTTGGGGAGGGATTAAAAATAATGTCACTTTGAGGTGGTCTAAGCCTGGGGTACCACTGGCCTAAACGCAGGCTTCCCTTCTGTTGCAAAGGGCAGTGTCCAAGCAGGGATTTCTGTTCGGACCATGGCAGGGAGAGAATGGTTAAACTCTCAGCTTGCAATCCCCCTGAAGCTACTATTTACATTTTTCAAACTGTGCGTGTTAATTGCATTCATGTTGTGTGTAACCTGGGCTTAGGGGAAGAGGTGGACACAAAACAATTCTGAGAGATAATAATCAGTGACTGTGCATTGACAAGCAGATTTACTTGTGGGTGTTGTTGCTTTAAAGAAATATGTATGTGTTAATAAACTGTATTAAAAAGGTAAAGGTACCCCTGCCCGTACGGGCCAGTCTTGACAGACTCTAGGGTTGTACGCTCATCTCACTCTATAGGCTGGGAGCCAGCGCTGTCCGCAGACACTTCCGGGTCACGTGGCCAGCGTGACAAGCTGCATCTGGCGAGCCAGCGCAGCACACGGAACGCCGTTTACCTTCCCGCTATAAAGCGGTCCCTATTTATCTACTTGCACCCGGAGGTGCTTTCGAACTGCTAGGTTGGCAGGCGCTGGGACCGAAGGACGGGAGCGCACCCCGCTGCGGGGATTCGAACCGCCGACCATGCGATCGGCAAGTCCTAGGCGCTGAGGTTTTACCCACAGCGCCACCCGCGTCCCTACAGTTAAATCATTTGTCCCTACAGTTAAATCATTTGTCCTTTGCTTTGGGGTTATAATTCTGTTTTTTACTTTGTCCCATTTACCAAAAGTTATGAATTAAATAACGTGACCAGCCAGCCAATCTTACCTAGCACCCAACCAGAAATGAAACATGAGAACAGGGTCATGTTGTCTATGGAAGTGTTATTTGCACTTCAAGCACACAGATAGGCAATGACATGAATCTGAGGAAACTGTTCCAGATTCCTTGCTTATAATTACCCAGAGTGTCAGCAGAAAGTCTCTGAGACTCCTCCCACCATATTCAGACTGAACGTCAGCTCCACCATGATGCGCTTCAGAAATCTTTTCGGCTCGTATTTTGTGCGTACCTGAGGCGGTGGGGGAGAAAGCTCATCAAGCATATATATATATATATATATATATTAACAGAAAGGCATGATTAACAGCTGTACCTGGCACTAGAGAACAGAAATCACAAGGAAATAAGCTGCTGTTTTTAATGTTTGACAAATTAACTTCACAAAGCTCCATATCTGGGACCATTTGGAGGCAGCCAATTTGCTTGGATGGGCACATGTGTGTAAGTGATTCCTTTGTGAACTGGAGTCTGTTTCCCTCCTCCCCCACGCTGTTGAACATGTGCTGTTAAGTATAAATAGTTACAAGGAGTCCGACACTCTTATCCATCTCTGGTGTGAAAAACTCAGCACATTTAATTTCTTTTTCAACATCTCTAATTGACTCACACAAGCCTTCCTTCCTGACAACTGTGGCTGATAGGGATTGGCTTATATTCAGTCTGGTTTGTCTATTTAAAAAGCACAGCCAGGACATTTAAAAGACAGCTCTGCTTTTTAAAAGAAGAAAAGAAGAAAATCTCTTGAGGGCCAAGTCACAAAGCCATCCCCACCCCCAGCCTGCCGGCAACGAGATAACCTGTGGCAGAACTTGGGCAGAAAACTAATTGGGTTGAAAATGGCCACAACTTTATTGATTACAGGTGTAGGTGAATCATTGGCTCAGGCATTGGCTCTATATCCATTTCAGCCTCCTGCAGGAGGGCTGAAACCACTGCAGGGTCGTTCCAAGGTTATGACCTCCCCAAGATGCCAATCTATGGAGGTGGCTGTCCTAAGGTCGCTGCTGGAAGCTCTATGGCCCATCTGCCCCGCGCTTGGCTTCTGGACAGAGACTTCCACCAAGCCCTTCTACCCTGAATTTGCCGCTGCATCAGAACTGGATGATGCATCACTTCACCCAAGTTTGAGGATGAGGATTCCACCCATGCTTGAAAAAAGAAAAAAGAAAATCTCTTTATGCGTCAGAGGGAACTTCCCCAGTGGCCCAGCCAGGAAACTGGGTAAAGGATTACAACCTTGGATCAAAACAGGAAAAGCCAGTTCCATGCTGCATTGGGGGACCACCGCCTCCTTCTGCTAAGTGGGGCCCTGGACTACTGCCCCAAAGTCCCACCCTGCCAGCACACACCCTGCCATTCACAAGGGGACTCAGTACATTGTCTGAGAGACATAAGCTTGTGGCCATTTTCTGAGATAAGTTAGAGTAAGATGACAGTTTTCCTGCAAACAAGGTCTTGGGGTCCACCTGGCCAAAATCATTATAGCCCAGGTGTTTGAGAAAAGTTTCTTCCTTTATACCTTTTTACCTTTCTAAAGGTAAAATCTGATCCCTAAAACAGATTCAGTTTTATAGTTCATCTGCACCTGGGCTCCACATCTTGTTAGCCAATGTGCAAGGAAGAGTTATGTTTTTCTCATAATTATGGGTTTTAAAAATTATTTTATAAGACATCCAAGTGATTTCTAAATATTGGGCATTCTAGCTACCAGTAACTAAAAATGCTAGATTGTGGCAGTTCTTGTTTGTTTTACACATGCATACAAATATATGAATGAATCCAAATCCCCAACGGATGATTAAAGTAGAGCAGTGAAGGTAAACGACATAGAAGTCTCAGATTTATATCTGTCTCTATCAAAAAATGGAAAATGGTGGCTTCATCATTCTGTTGGAATCCCTGCTTTCATATGTGTGTGCGTGTGCATGCTACTTTCAATACTTCAGTAATATTACTTGTCAGATAAGCCTAGGGGGAGGCAACATAGCATGAGCTAGCACAATGGGACTTCTTTGTCCTCCTCTCCACCTTCAGCCCACAAAGGACTGCCACATCTACTCTGGAGGCTAAGGGAATATTCTGGAGCAGATTTGAGGGGGCAAGGCATTGGAAGGCAGAAGGAAAAATCCGTTTCACTAGTAGAATTTCTCATGTGCAAGTGGACAGACGTAACTGTGATCTCTCCATTGATTGCTACGAGGGCTAAAACAACTAACGCAAATGATTCTCAAGCACCTCACAAAATCTATGTCACCATAAAACAGGAACACTGGAGCCATGTTTAGACCAAGGCAGGGTATATATTCCAAGCCCCTTTCATACTAGAACCTTAGAGCTTCCAACTAGATATTCGAGGCCCTAACCACTCAGGATGGCACTTCTCTCCTGCTTCAGAAAATGTGTTTACCTGGCAATTGCTTTGGGAAATATGAAAACGGTGCTACCAAAAGGCACGTAGAGAAACTGCATGCAACAAACGCTACCCACCAAGCTCCAACCCAACGTGGATCTTCTGGAGTGATGTCATGTCTAGAAAGATAGTAATTTAGCAAACACAGTTTTAATACAGACATGATTAGCTGAGTCACTTTCCAGTACATTCTGCCAGGCTATTCTGCAAGATAAATTATACACCTCCGGCTTATTCATCACATACTGAGCCCTTTATGATCCAACGTAATAACAATTATATAAACAATGGTACTGCTGCCTCACCAGCTGGGGAAATTGCTATCTTTTACAGTTCTGGTTCACTAACTAAGTTTTATTTTTCTACTTCATTGATCAAAAGCAAATAAACAGTAAGTTAACTAAAGAAAATGCCTCTTAACTCTGTGGCTGTTCTGACATCCTAACACAAGTTCCCCCAAGTCCAGTTCCACATCCAGTGGGTATATTTTTTATCTGTTTGGCATAAGGCTAAAATGTAAAGTTTAGTAACATTGTTGTTGGGGGGTGTAACGGAGTTCTAGGGTAACACTATGGAAGTAAAAGGAAAAAAGAAGAAGAAGAAACCTCCTTGCCTCGGGTGACGATGGAAATCAACATAAATGTTAAGCAGCTGTCCTCCTAATACATAACCGATAGCTGGACCCATCAATGACATGGCATAACCAATTCCTGCAGAGTAGAAAGATAATAGTTTGTATTGCAAGGATCCAAAATGCATTTAGCCGAGATGCCTAAACAGGTTGATCACTTTTAGATTCCACAGAAGCCCACTGAAAGCATGGAGAGTAAATATGCAGGAGACTGGAGCTGATCCCAGGGGCGAGACCCACATATATTCAACTTATTTATTTTTATCCATTATGACATTTACACGCCTTCTTTCCTCCAAGGAGCTCAAGGTGGTATACCTGGTTCTCCCTCCTCCCCATTTTATCCTCGCAAAAGGGCATCCAAATAATTTTGTTGTTGTTTAGTCGTTTAGTCGTGTCTGACTCTTCGTGACCCCATGGACCAGAGCACGCCAGGCACTCATGTCTTCTACTGCCTCCCGCAGTTTGGTCAGACTCATGTTTGTAGCTTCGAGAACACTATCCAACCATCTCGTCCTCTGTCGTCCCCTTCTCCTTGTGCCCTCAATCTTTCCCAACATCAGGGTCTTTTCCAGGGAGTCTTCTCTTCTCATGAGGTGGGCAAAGTATTGGAGCCTCAGCTTCATGATCTGTCCTTCCAGTGAGCACTCAGGGCTAATTTCCTTAAGAATGGATGCGTTTGATCTTGTTGCAGTCCATGGGACTCTCAAGAGTCTTCTCCAGCATCATAGTTCAAAAGCATCAATTCTTCAGCCTTCTTTATGGTCCAGCTCTCACTTCCATACATCACTACTGGGAAAACCATAGCTTTAACTATACGGACCTTTGTTGGCAAGGTGATGTCTCTTGCTTGTTTATAAACCAGCCTTCTTTATGGTCCAGCTCTCACTTCCATACATCACTACATCATCCAAATAATAATAATAATAATAATAATAATAATTTTTATTTATACCCCGCCCTCCCCAGCCAAGGCCTGGCTCAGGGCGGCTAACAAGCAATAATAAAAACAAGTTGAATAAATGCAACTTAAAAACAAGATTAAAATACATTAAAATATTGAAACATTAAAATATTAAAATGCAGCCTCATCACAGGAGGAGAAAGGAAAAAGGAAAAAGAAAGAGGGGGAGGGAATCAAATTGCCTCCAAGCCAAAGACCAGGCGGAACAACTCTGTCTTACAGGCCCTGCAGAAATCAGATCCTGCAGGGCCCTGGTCTCATGAGGCAGAGCGCTCCACCACGCCGGAGCCAGTGTTGAAAAGGCCCTGGCTCTGGTTGAAGCTAATCTAACTTCCTTAGGGCCCGGGACCAGTAGGGTGTTGCTATTTATGGACCTTGAGGCTCTCCGTGGGGCATACCGGGAGAGGCGGTCCCGTAGGTAAAATGAGCTTCATGGCCAAGTGGGGATTTGAATCCAGGTCCTAGTCCAGCATTCTAACCTCTATGTCATTTTTTATTTTATTTTTTTAGTGCGTGTTCAACCTCTTGTAGTTCTGCACACACTGGACTCCCATTGGACTCAGCAAGGTTTACATCCCTTGTAGGCGTGTATACAATTGTAAGTAAACAAACAGAAGGCACAAGAGGTACTATGGACATTCTTCTAAATATTGATGGATAATCAATATAAATGGGCATTTCTTGAAATAAATTTCAGCCAAGCTTACCTATGTAGACTGAAGACTTGTGCTTGGGGACACTGTCGTCAATGAAAGCTGTTCCCAGTGTGTAAAGAGGAGTCCCACCTGCTCCCATTATCAGCTGTCCCAGCAGGAAAACGTAGAAGTAGTTGGAGAGTTCAGTCTTTTTTAAGCCAGGTTTGCATGTGGCATTCTTAATTGCAGCCAGGTTTACTGGACAGGTATCTGGAAGTGAAAGTTTATTACATCAATGAATTTTATTTGCTTTCAGATGCATTATCATAGGTCTTCAGTTGTCCAAGGTACCACTGAACCCAACAAATGGTGCACAATGCTGAAGAAATGTCAGGTTGCTGTCAGTGGCTCCCGGCTGGTTGCCCAGGAAAGTATAAAGACAAGGGAAAGTTTCTTACCGTCCTTTTTTATTTCAATCTTTACAGAGAGAGGCTATAGAACCCAGCCTCTTGGATAACGGCATTGTCCCAAGTGAATCTCCACCCTCCCTTCTCTTCCACTTCCTCATTCATCATTCCCATCGTCTCTTCTATGGGTGCTGCTACATGCCCTCTGTATTTGAGCTCTTTGCTCTCCTACTGTTAAGGCTTGCTGGGTTCTGGGAGATAGAGGGTCTGGAATGCTTTCTAATGACAACGTATCAGCTGAGTGTTGTTCTAGCTCTCCCATGATTTACCAGCTTTCCCCCTGATCTGCCTCTGAGCTGCCAGCTCCCTCCAACCCCTGTTGTAAATCTATTTTTGTCTTCCTCTTCCTCCTCCCCGGAAGGGTCAGGACAGGGAGCCGGACTCCACCATTCCTCCTCTGCCCAGTCCCTGAGAAGAAGTAGCAAAGCAGCTTTTAAGCTGACATGGGGAGAAGATGCAGGCTGTTCAGGATAACATTCAATGGTTGTTCAAAAAAAATAATCTTGGGTAGCCCATGTGAGGACTACAACTCCCATCAACCCTGATGATTGGCTATGCTGGCTGGGGCTGATGGGAGTTGTAGGCCAGCAACATCTGGAACAGAGCGTGACACTGGAAGCGAGTGAGAATGAATCACAACAACGAAAAGTTAAATGTTAAAATGAAACTACCTTCCAACTTCTGTGCTTCGCCCACCTGCAATTTATATAATATCGCCATTAGAGATAATATCACCATTGCAGAGTGGTGGGTAAGGATTATGAAAATAATAATATCTTATGTACTTTGAACACCTTCTCACACACACAAAAGTGCTATACGTATGTTGCTGTTGTTATTATTATACACAATTATATAGTGCATTTTTACCCATCATCATAAATAACACGACATACATGTATGAAATACCTTTCACAGAGCTGCAAAATATTCACTGTGCATAATGTCAGCACTGCTCCGTGAAGATCACTGACTTATCTTGTGGGGATATTTTAACTTTGCTCAACTGAAAGAGTACTGTATTGATACAGCTTGGATATTCATATCCCATAACCAGTGCAGGTAAGACTACATTTTTATTGACCCAATGTGTATGGAAATATGGAAGGCAAACTTTCAGATGGAACAAAGTTCTTCCTTGGAGAAGGGTCATAGCTCATTGGTAGGACATCTGCTTTGCATGCAGAATGTCCCAGGTTGCAGTTTTCCTGCTCGGAATCACGGAGAGCCATTGCCGGTCATTGTGGACAATACTGAACTAGCCGGACCAGCACTCTGCATAAGGAAGCTTCCAATGTTCCTAAGTTTTTCTAAGAATTATTATGGGTGCACATTAGTAGCATAGCAAGTGGAATCTGCAACAAAATTTTGCTGTGTATCCTCCTATCTAAAATAGTATTTTTCAGTCCAGCTATTCCCTCTAAGCAGGGTGTCCCATTTTGTCATGTCATTCTATGGCTATTGATATTGCTCAGTTTTTATTGAGCTGCTGTTGCTTTTTTGAGGGGAACTTATAAAGTTCTTTTTTCTGCATTCTTTCAGAATCCCTCAAGCCTGCTGCTCCTTCCCTCTTGTTTCATTATGGCCCATTTTGACTACAGTCCTGGTGGTGTTTGCCATTCACGTTCACTAGCAAAAGGAGGTATAATAATAAATGCCACTAGAGGGAGCTCCCATTTAATAAATCTGAAGTATGAGAATCATCTTCTATCAAAACAGTGTTCACCTGAAGAAATGTAGGATTTTTAAAAAGAGAGAGGGAGAATACATAATTGCTTTAGACATCTTTTTCCCAAATGAAGTCACAAATTGCTGGTATCATTCATTATGTTTATTCCAATCCAAATAGCTTTATTGTACTAGCCATTGGCCATGACAAATCTGAATCAAAAATAAATACAAGCAAAAGGGGTGTCACACCACAAATAATGGTCTCTATTTAGTTTTCTGCGTCTCCCTTACAGTTCACTGCTATATTGTCCAGGGTCTTTTTTCTGATCTTTTTGGCCGCCAAGGGATAAAAGGGAGACTTTGTGAGTCACTGAAGTGTTTACATTGCTAAGAATGTATGCCTATATCATAGCAAGCAAGAGGTAGAAAGAAAGGCCTCATATTTTAAGGGTTCCAGAGTGGAAAGGCGGGGGGGAAACAGCTCTCATTGTTAAGTCTAAAGCAGACCAGCCTGTGTCAAAGATGCGAAACAGTATTTGCCAATCCTCTGCATGTCCCCGCCGCCAAATACTACGGTAACTAACTAACTAACTACCGTAACTAACTTTTCTGGGAAAGAACCCCACCAAACAAGCCAAGTGAAGAAGATGGTGGGCTGTGTTAACTTGCATAGTTAAAGGTTAAACTATCATTTTTATTTTGAAAAAAATCCCAAGTGCCTTATCATGATCAATCAAATTGTCACAAAATAGCGGGCAAACTTTTGGGTCCACCAAAACTCTTCATCAAGATGGATATGTTAAGCAAAGGGGAGGGAGATGAGAAAAAACAAACCTAGTTCAATACTGAAGCCATAATGTCCGCTTTGATTAACAATTCATTTTGTTATATAGCTTTAGAGGGATGCTGCTTTGGCAGTCAAGTTTGTTGATGATACAAAAATAAAATAAAATAGGGTGGCTAAAATCACATGGGGTTGTAAGGAACTCCAAAAGGATCCCTCTAAACGGAGTGAATGGGAAGTAAAATGGCAAGCGCAATTCAATGTAAGCAAGAGATGGACACTGTGGTAATAAGAATAAGAAGAATAAATCCTAATTTCTCATGTATGTTTATCAGGTCTGAACTGGGAAAAGACCTTGAGGTCACAGTGGATAGCTTGAAGATGTTGACCCAGTGTGTAGCAGCTGTGAAAAGGGTGAATTTCATCCTAAGGATCATGAGGGAAAAGATTGAAAATAAAACGGCCAAAATTGTAATGACATAACACAAATCTAGAGTGCAACCACACTTGGAATACTGTGCATAGTTCCAGCCACTGCATCTCAAGAAGTATATGATGGTGCTGAAACAAGGTCCAGGAGCAAGTCCCCTATGAGGAAAGGTTACATTGTTCTTTTTTTGGGGGGGGGGTTAGTTTGGAGAAAATCTAAGTGGGAGAATGATAATGATGTACGTATATAATTTTGCATGGTATGGAGAAAGTGTAAAGCAAGTTTTTCTCCATCTCTCATGATACTAAGAGTCACAGCTGTCCATTGAAGTTGGATGCTGGAAGATTCAGAATCGGGAGAAAGGTCCATCTAGTCCTGTATCCTGTTCTCAAAGTGGTTAGCCAGCTGCCTAGGAGAAGCCCACAAAGAGGGCACTCTCCCCAAGAGGCAGTGATGGGCACCAACTAGGAGGGCTTTGAAAAAGGAATAAACAGTTTCATGGAGGATAAGGCTATCAGCAGCTGCTGACCACAATGGCTGTGGTCTACCTCCGCTGCCAGATATTTAGTTGATAGAGCAGAGTCATCTGCCTCTGAGTGACTGAGAATCCCACCTGTGGCGTTCCCTCTTGTGCTCAGGTCCTGCTTGCAGGCTTCTGGTTGGCATCTGCTTGGCCATGGTGAGAACAGAATGCTGGACGAGATCAGCCTTAGTCTGATCCACCAGAGCTCTCCTTATGTCCTTAGTGAGGTTGTCTTGAAGAGTGCCTGAACTCTAACCCTGCTCTGCTAACCTCATTTGTGTGGCAATTTATCCTCCTAAAAACCTTGCCAGTTTGAATGTATAATGGGGGAAAGCGAGTCTGTGTCATCCGATATCAATGAAGATGAAACGTGCTTGACCACTGGGCTAAAAGATGATGCCTCAAATAGACATATTAATTTGACTCTTCCCCATCTGAAAGTCTACTAAAGCCTCATTCTACTGCACTTCATTTACTTTGTTTGGGGCGGCAGGTGTTCCTCAGTGACTGAAATATATGAAACCCTATTGATATCTACCATACCAACTGCCTAACACTAGCTAAGGAGCTATAACAAACTTACGCTGTGTACACACTACACCTTTAAAGCACATTTGAAGCACATTCTTTCTCTCAAAGAATTATGGGCACTGTGGTTTGTTAAGGGTTGTTGGGAATTGCAACTCTGCAAGGGGTAAACTGCACTTAGCGTAACTCTTTGAGGGAAAGAATGTGTTTTGAATATGATTTAAATGTGTACACAGCCTATAGACCAGAATCTTGAATGCCAGCCATTAGATGTAGTATTTATAATTTCTTTTAGTTCAGTTCAAGTATTTTTCCCCGCACTCTTCAGCCAATGAGCCTCTCAGTGGGGCAAACTGTTCTGAAACTCAACGTGGCCTCCTTCCAAGCAGCCGGTTGACTACAGAGCTGTGTTTGCAATGCTCTCTGTCAGGCACCTATTCAAAGACGTTGGATCCTTCCCTACTAGGCAACCTTTCCCAGCACTCATTAACTCCACTTATGATAAAGTGTAATGGGATTATGTTTTCTTCTGCCAGATTCTCACAGAATAAGAAGATTACAGAATTTCACGACAATCCACTTGTAAATAGAACCAACAAGAAAATAAAGGGGAGCTAAAGAGGAGCAGCGGGAAACACCCTTATGGAGACCACTTCTTTCACAAACAATATTTCATTGCAACTGTGGGAGCTTAACTTTCATTTATATCAACAGCTTTGGTTTGCTGGTAGGCATCCGAAAACGTAATGGTCTCTAAACTGCAAGAAGTGAGATGCTTAGATTGAAGTGGCCTATTCCGACCGTTTGGGTTCCCTTTTTCCCCTCTGTTATGGGATAGAGAGGCTCCATAAAGGTAAAGGTAAAGGGACCCCTGACCATTAGGTCCAGTCGTGGCCGACTCTGGGGTTGCGGTGCTCATCTCGCTTTATTGGCCGAGGGAGCCGGCGTACAGCTTCCAGGTCATGTGGCCAGCATGACTAAGCCGCTTCTAGCAGCGCACGGAAATGCCGTTTACCTTCCCGCCAGAGCGGTACCTATTTATCTACTTGCACTTTGACGTGCTTTCGAACTGCTAGGTGGGCAGGAGCAGGGACCGAGCAATGGGAGCTCACCCCGTCACGGGGATTCGAACCGCCGACCTTCTGATCGGCAAGTCCTAGGCTCTGCGGTTTAACCCACAGTGCCACCCGTGCCCCTAGAGAGGCTCCATAGCTCCATAGCCTTGGTTAAAATGGTGGTGCTAATAATGCAATGCAATAGTACAATTATGCCATTTATATGTTATAACACTGGGACATAGCTGTCAACCTTCCCTTTTTTTTTTGCGGGAAATTCCCTTATTCCAGCGCCATTTTGCGGGAAATTCCCTTATTCCAGCGCCATTTCCCGCTGCTTCCCACTGCTATCCCAGATTGTTAGATATCCTGTGAAATCCCAGATTGTTAGATATCCTGTGAAATTAGAAACATAATAACTGAAAGATACAGTAAGTTAAGAAACAAGGTAACAAATTGCTGAAACTTTTATTGCAAAGAACGCAAAGTCGTGAGGATGTGGGGAAGTCCATTTGGAATATTGGGAAAACTATTGAAAGTTGGATTGTAATAATCTTTTTATCATTTTTCTTTGTTTTTGTTTCTTGTATTTTCTTATTTTAACTTTGTGTCTATGACTCTAAGAAAAGAAACTCAATAAAAAATATTTTTTTAAAAAAAAAAAGATATCCTGTAGACTGTCCCCGGGACAGGTGAGGCTGCTGATCCCTTATTTTCGAGGTTGCTGATCCCTTATTTTCAAATCTGAAAGTTGACAGCTATGCACTGGGAGCATCTTAAAACATAACTTTCAGAATTAACTGAGACACCTTTTGTGTCAGGGCTAGCCCAGGATGTTTTGCCACCTTAGGCAAAATTAAGAATGCTGTCGCACGCATTCACACCGCCTGAGGCGGCCTGGCGAGTAAAGGGAGGTGGGTGGCAGTCGTGGCATTCAGGTGGGTGGGTGGATGGGCGGAGGGCGAGTGGCTCCACCACCAGTGGATGGATCTGCCACTTGAGGCAACGGGTGGGCCATCCCTGCTTTGTGTTGTCTTCTGCTCTTCATGTAGAAACTCACTACAAGTCAGCTAATTGCAGAAGACCATTTTTATTTTTGATGAGGCTTGGAAGCTCTCACAGACTAGGTATTTAACTTCTTCACCCAGGCATTACCTCTCTGAGCTGGCCTTCTGGGTCATAGCTGTTTCTCTTAAAGGTTAAAAAGAAAAGTGGTCTCTTAAAGGACCACCATGCTAAATATTTAGGTGATAATGCATATATTACATACACCCTTAAGAATCAGAAATACGTAAAAGGGTATCTAATTTCAAAAAATTCAGCAAGTGCAAACACTGCATGCAACACACTTAAAAAAACAAATCTGCACCCATTTCTGGCATTTATTGTCTTCCAGCAGCTCTCCCTAGTCTGGGCTGCAAACTGCTTTTAGTTTTAAAAGCGAGTTTGATGAAAGGAACTACAAAAGCCAACAGGCCAGAGAGAGAGAAAGAGAGGGAAATTTAAGAGGAACAAGGAAAAGAAGGGAGAAAGCCACTAAGACAAAACCAGGCAGGTAGACAATTCAAGGGAACTCTAAGTAATAGGAGCAGATGGAGTTCACTGGAGTTAGACAAAGGTGCGCATTCAGAGTCTCTCAGGCCTGTCTCTGGTTACAAAGTCCTGGGATGCAGACTCCCTGGCAGGAGAGCCTGTGGTTAATAAATACTGCTGCGTGAGAGCAGGAAACAGTGGAGTGGGTGTCATGTGTGCTCTCAACCCTGCTGTCATGCCCTCACCACCCCTACCGCGTGCCAAATTATAATCTGTTTACTTCAACATGAATAACTCAGAGTAGAAAGCAGTCCAAATCTCCAGAGCCTCACCCCTTCCTCTGCATAGCCCCACCTTAGGTTCACATTATTGATTATGATAGCATCATTTTATGTATTTATGTATCAATCTATTCAAATACTGCTATATCCTAAAAACAACAACAAAGCGGTTCATGACTATGATACTGATATACAGTGAAAACCACACAGGTTTCATCTAAATAGCCTGCATAAAGCTGGGCAGCATAGAAAAATTATCAGCAGCCATTTAAAGGTTGAAACAGAAGGCACCTGCTGAATCTCTACTGACAGAGCATTCAGTGGGTCTTATTTTGTGAGCATGGTGGAATCCATCTATTGGCTTTTACATAAAGGTAAATTGCACACTAAGCAAAACAAGAAAACCCCATAGATAAATGTTGTCAATATCAGGTATAAAAAGGAGGGGGTGGGAAACCGTTCAAAAAACCAAGGCGCGGCTTCTGAAAATTGTTCGAAAACCGAAACACTCACTTCCGAGTTTCAATCATTTGGGAGCCAATTTGTTCGCAAGGCTTTTGAGATCCCAGGTATGTCTGTATACGAAATGTATAAAGTCAACTTGTGTTTCGATCAGGGGTAGGCAACCTAAGGCCTGTGGGCCAGATGCGGCCCAATCACCTTCTCAATCTGGCCCGCGAATGGTCTAGGAATCAGTGTGTTTTTACATGAGTAGAATGTGTCCTTTTATTTAAAATGCATCTCTGGGTTATTTGTGGGGCCTGCCTGGTGTTTTTCCATGAGTAGAATGTGTGCTTTTATTTAAAATGCATCTCTGGGTTATTTGTGGGGCATAAGAATTCAGTCACACACACCCCATATAGATAGATAGATAGATAGATAGATAGATAGATAGATAGATAGATAGATAGATAGATATAGATGATAGATAGATAGATAGATAGATAGATAGATAGATAGATAGATAGATAGATGATAGATAGATGATAGATAGATAGATAGATAGATAGATAGATAGATAGATAGATAGATAGATAGATAGATAGTCCAGCCCACCACATGGACTGAGGGACGGTGGACTGGCCCATGGCTGAAAAAGGTTGCTGTCCCCTGGTTTAGATGATACATCGATAGATGATAGATAGATAGAGATACACACACACACACACACACACACACACACACACACACACTGTATATCCAGGAACCATAACTTCAAAATGACAATGAAAGAAACATTTAATGCATAAGAACTTACCTTCTGCTTTATCCCCATATATATATGGTCCAGCAGTAAAATGTGGCAAGCAAAAAACAAGTGCTCCTAGTGCTATCAAAAAAGATGCAAAGGCCAGCCATCTTGGTTTGTGCCCTCTTTCTCCGTAGAAGGATATAAAAAGGCAGAGCAAACAGAAGGAAATGTCATAGCCAGAGGAGATTATACCAGTGAGGGAGCTGTTCAAATCATAACGCTTCTCAATGGTGGAAATGCTCACGTTTACCAGTCCGTTTACCACAATGCCTAAAAGAAAAGAGAAATAAAATCAGATAATCGAAGGATACATTGATTATTATTTTTTTAATAATGATAGCACCTTTCTACATGGGCTCCCTTGTCTCGCAAGACAGACAGATGCCACCAACAACAACACGGGCTGGGTAACGTTCTGCTCTTTATACGTCAGTTTTGTTCCCCCAAAGTATTTTATTATTGTGAAATTGGTACAATGATTTGAGCCAAAATATACACAGTGAAGTAGTGGGAGCTGGGGTGTATGCGTGTGTGTTATTTACCAATTCACCATTTCAGACACTGCTTAGAAATGCAAATGATTAAGCAGTATATAAATGCCGGGGGGGGGGGGGGAATCGAGATAAATTGTTTTTGTTAAGTACTGCCATTCACTACAATAGGGCACATTCACCCATATTAGTTGCCACCAATGCATTTTTGTTTTTTTTGTTTTTTATAATATTTTATTAAGTTTTCTTTCAGATATTCAGAAATTTACAGAATAAAAAGTAGAAAGTAAAAGTAAGAAAAAGAAAGTATACATAAATTCCAACTTTCCAAAGTACTTTAACAGTTCCAATCGGACTTCCCCACATCTTCCAAATTCTGTGTTCTTTGCAATTGTAACATCAGCAATTTGTTACCTTATTTCATGTCTTACTGTATCTTTCAAATACTATGTTTCCAAATTTAAAATACTGTATCTCAGTTTTTTGTACCCTGTAAATAAACATAGTATGGTTACTTCATATTGTCTACCTCATCTTTCTTATAACTTAATTTCAAATTCACCTATTCAAGTTGCTGAAGCAAACGTTTCCTAATCGTACACATTCTTAACATTCATACAACTTATAATGTTTTTGCAAATAGTCCTTAAATTTTTTCCAGTCCTCCTCCATTATTTCTTCTCCCAAATCACAGATTCTGCCAGTCATTTCAGCCAGTTCCATGTAGTCCATCAACTGCGTCTGCCATTCTTCCAGCGTGGGTAAATCTGGTGTCTTCCAGTGCTTTGCAATGAGGATTCTTGCTGCTGTAGTTGCATACATAAACAAAATTCTATCCTTCTTTAGCACTTTCTGGTCCACCATGCCCAGAAGGAAGGCCTCTGGTTTCTTGGGAAAGGTATACCTAAATACCTTTTTTAGCTCATTGTGTATCATTTCCCAGAAGGCCTTCACCTTTGGGCAGGTCCACCAGAGGTGAAAGAATGTCCCTTCAGCCTCCTTACATTTCCAACATTTATTGTCAGACAAATGGTATATTTTAGCAAGCTTGACTGGGGTCATGTACCACCGGTATATCATTTTCATAATGTTTTCCTTCAAGGCATTACATGCCGTGAACTTCATTCCGGTGTTCCATAACCTTTCCCAGTCCTCAAACATAATGTTATGCCCAATGTCCTGCGCCCACTTTATCATGGCAGATTTAACTGTCTCATCCTGTGGCCACCAATGCATTTTTGAAGCGGCACATGCCGGTACTTCCACCTCTTCCCTCCTCTGCGCTACACCTTTGCCTACCGCCACTGCTGCCGGTCACTGCAGACAGTTATTCAGCCCATGGTCTGAGTCAATTTCCTATGAAAGCTGCCTATTGTCAGTTTTGCCATTTGCTGTGGTTGTCCTGTCACTTTAAGAGTTGCATACACCCTGTACACTTAAAGCACATCACAAACACACACCAAGAAAACAATATTGGGAGCTGTGATTTCTTAAAGAGTCCTGGGACCTATAGCTCTGTGAGGGGTAAACTATAGCTCCCGAGATTCTTTAATATTTAAATGTATGGTATGTACACAGAGCTGTCTTCAAAAACACTGCTGTCCAACTGTCTAACACCTGGGTGGATTAAAAGAAAGTTTGGACTATGACTTCAAAGCTTGCAAGCAAGAATTCTCAAATTGCATTATTCATTTGTTAAACAAATTACTTGTGCAATTAGCTCTTCATGGGCAACTACTCTATTATTTTGTATATTCAGGGTTCCCACTAAAGAATAATTAATAATCTTAAAAATTAGCAAGTTTTATTCCCTCCAAAGCCCAACATGATTTCATGCCATCTGTTCTGGAATGCAGTACAGTGGTACCTTGGGTTACAAACGCTTCGGGTTACAAACTCCACTAACCCGGAAGTAGTACCTCGGGTTGCAAACTTTGCCCCAGGATGAGAACAGAAATCGCGTGCCAGCAGCATGGTGGCAGCAAGAGGGCCCATTAGCAAAAGCGTGCCTCAGGTTAAGAATGGTTTTGGGTTAAGAACAGACCTCCAGAATGAATTAAGTTCGTAACCCAAGGTACCACTGTACTGCAATGTCAGTCCAATAACATGGAAGTTTTCTCAAAAGACCAATTGAGCTCCTAATTAATTATATTACTTTTAAATGATTTTGTAAGATATATGAATATAACCATCTAACTTTGAGCCTAAAAGATCCCAAAGACTGGTCTGTAATACAACTCAGTTAAGCAGCTCTAGTACTGCAACTTTTCAGGTCAGCCTCATTCTGGTCATGCAGCTGCCCAGTTCTAAATTGTCTCTTTTGAAGTTACAGATGTAGAATTGTAAATGAATTGCAATCTCTAAAAACTGCTTAGGCCAATAGGCAGAACTTGTTTTTCAGGCCCTCTGCCCACTGATGTGACACATCATGCCTTGTAGAAAGTCTTTGGCTATGTATGATTCCTGAAGCAACAAAAACGTGCCTATGCGTTGTTCGCTTTCCTAACATTTAATCTAATGTGTGGGACAAAGCTCATCCACACCCACAATGAAGAGAGGCAAGATTTGGGTTCAGCGCCCTTAAAAGCGGGAAAGAAGGTGGGAGGGACAGGGTTAAGAAATGAACCCATCCCTCAGCACAACCTCAACTCAATATGAGAGAAGGATGGGAGACTTCAATTCACTTCTACTTTGAGTAACACAAGGTCCCATCATCTCTGGTGTGGGTGACACTGCCTTATGGCTCCATCCCACACTGTTTCTGCCATGTCTTGCATACAGAGGTACCTCGGGTTAAGTACTTAATTCATTCCGGAGGTCCGTTCTTAACCTGAAACTGTTCTTAACCTGAAGCACCACTTTAGCTAATGGGGCCTCCTGCTGCTGCCGCGCCGCCGGAGCCCGATTTCTGTTCTCATCCTGAAGCAAAGTTCTTAAGCCGAGGTACTATTTCTGGGTTAGCGGAGTCTGTAACCTGAAGCGTATGTAACCTGAAGTGTATGTAACCCGAGGTACCACTGTATAGGAAATTGTGTGTAACAGACTGATGGAAGAAACTTTATCTTCAATCAATCCACCTCATGTGATTTTCTGCATACAAATATTACCAGAGCGATATGGGACAGAGCCACAAGGAAGTGCAACAAAGCTGCCATTGTAACGCAAGAACTGTCCTTGTGAAATTCGATCTCTTAGCAAGAGACAGTCAGTTGCTGGTGTATACTCAATATCGCATTACTACCACCTTGGAAGACTAATAAAAATGGCCAGTCATATCTGTAAACATAGTGAGGATTCAAATCCAAAGTTGTGGCTATAAAACTGGGGAGGTGGTTCTGCTGAACCCAATAGCTTTGAGTGTCCCTGAGCTCAGAGAGTCAACTGTCCTCCTGCACCTTGAACCATTGTTTTCAGCAGGTCATTCCAGGACTTGGCAGGGGAAAGTTGTGCCTGCGAAAAGTACCTTCATCTCCACAACTGTGAAAGGACACCAGAGCACTTCCTGAACTGTTAGCCAAATTAACACATAGCACAGGAGGGTGGTAACAGGCTGGCACTGTCAGCAGGCTTGGCATGGGCCTCAGGAAGACATGGTGGCACCAACACCTGAGTGACTCCCACTGCTTCTGGAAGAATCTCCCTCCAGTGGGTGTATGGGTGGTGCCAGAAGGACAAGCAGGACAGGGGACAAGCAGCTCACCTCCACACTTGCCCTCCCATTAAAATATACTGTTGTTTTACTTTATGTTAACTTCTGGGACACAACTTGCCCACCTAGAAATATGCTTTGCCATTTCTGTGCCCCCTTCCATCCCCCAAATTTTTTCCCCTGGTGCCACCATTGAGTTGTGTGGGTTGCATCTTCCACTGTGTTGTGTTTGTGTCTTTGCCCCAGGCAGTGGGAGCTGCCTTGTTTTTTCTCCTTCACACTTAAACTAGGCAAGCGAGTGGAAGTTGAAAGGATTGGCCCTCTGCTCAGCCTCCCACAGGGTGTCAGTAAAGGATTAAGAGATAGTTGGTTCTCTGGCAGGTAGGGAAGTAGGTGGTGGTGGTGGTAAGGAGAAGTTATGGCCTTCTCACTAAGAGCTTTGTCCCACAGATTCCTAGTATATTTCATATGAAGAGGTATATTCTCAGATAAAGGCCTTTTTTCATTTTGTTGCTTTTAAATAGGCATGCAGCCTATTTTAAATAGGACTGCAGTCTCATTTTATTTTACAGATCACAGATGTTAAAGCCTGGATGGATTGCTGGTTAGAGTGTTGAACCAGGACCTGGGAGACCCAGGTTCAAATTCCCCCTTAGCCATTAACCGAACGGGGTAATTTTTCGCCAGTCGCGATCTCTCGGCATAAACTACCTTGCAAGGGTGCTGTGAGGACAAATGGTGAGGTGAGAGAACGATGTACAGTGCCGTGAGTTCATTGGAGTTCATTCAGAAATGAAACAAATACATAAAGATAATACAAACGTTGTCCATCCATACATTTCACAGAATCATAGAATTGTAGAGGTTGGAAGGGACTCCAAGGTTCATCTAGTCCAACCCTCTGCAATGCAGGAATATACAGCCATCCCATGTGGGGATCAAACTTGCCATCTTGGCATTTTCAGCACCTTGCTCTAACCAACCGAGCTATCCAGGATGAGGGTAACAGAGAGCTCCACCACTGGGGAGTGAGCAAGCAGCGGCCACAGCCACAAGGAGCAGTTGCAGCCACCCCTCACCTGCCTGCTTCCTCTGAACAGAGGACTATAAAGAGCAGTGGCTGAGTTGCTCACTCACATTGCTGCTGCAGCAGGGACAAATTGAAGCCAACTTAGCTTAGTGGGAGAACACAAAAGATCCCAGTTTCAATCTCCACATATGGAAAGAAAGAACTCGCTCTGAAACATTGGAGTTAGTGTAGGCTGGGGCAGGGGGCTAACCCACTGCCCTCCAGATATGGTTGGACCACACCTCTCATCATCCCTGACAAAAACCAGAGTGGAGTATTGGTTAAAGTGTCAGACCAGGGGCTGTGAGACCAGGGTTGAAATCTTCACTCAGCCACATACCTCACTTGAGCCAATCGCTGCCTCTCCACCTAACCTACCCCACAGTGCTGATTTGCGGATTAAATGAGATGGGAGGGAGAACCCCATTTGCCACCTCTGGCTCCTTGCAGAAAAAAAGGTGAGGTATGAATGTGATGAAATAAATAAAAATAATAAAATAAATGGTCTGTGATGTCAGTGTTGGTAGGAGCTGAGAGCCCAGCAACATCTGGGTTGTTCAGTTGATTAGAGTGTGGTGGCAATAAAGCCAAAGTTGAAGGTTCAATTCCAATATGGGATGGCTGCATATTCCTGCATTGAAGAGGTTTGGGTTAGATGATCCTTAGCGTCTCTTCCAACTCTACAAATCTAGGTTGGCCACTCCTGGTATAGGTCACACTAAGCCTACTAGAAGGACCAGTGGCCGGATTCAGTTTGTGGTGCCCCAAAACCCTGAACCAGTGATGTGCATATAATTATAGAATCATCGAGTTGGAAGGGACCCCAAAAGTCATCTAGTGAATTTTAGTCCAACCACGTGCCTTGCCAAAATCTTGCCCACAGTGAAATACGAGAGATCCCTTCAACGCACAACCTTGAAGGACACCCATGATTTGGGGGCAGGGGTGCCAACTTAAATATGGAGGGCAGGTAAACCCCACCCCGCATCACAGATCACAAGACATGGTGCACACATACCATTTGAATGGCAATGCCCATCAATAAATATTCGAGGGGTCTTGGTCCCCCAAGGAGTTGGCTCCTATGTTTGGGGAGGTGGTCAGGGTGCAGGTGGAGGAGGAACTTATAGTTTCATCAAACCATCGAATTGTACAGTTGGAAGGGACCGTGGGGCTGAAACCTGAAATAAGGAGTTTCATTCTCTACCAACTGAGCTATCCCAGGCATTTGATCTGAATCCTCCCCCCCCCGCCCTCTACTTGCACTTTCTTTTCCATCCGCCTTCCTCCACACCGCCGCAACCCATGCGCCACAAGGGCGCACTTGACCACGCACGCCTTGGAAGCCTTGCGAGGGGATCTCCGTCTCCTGGGAGTGGGGGGGGGGAGAAAACCCCTCTGCCTTCTTTTCTCCTCACCTTGGAAGACGGAAAGGAGACTGTAGAAGAGCAAGTAGCCCTTGGGGTTGTTGCAGACCTGCAGCGCGGCGGGCGCGAACCTGCCGATGCCGCAGAGGTGCTCCTCCGGGTCCAAACTGCAGGACGCGCTCAACGCCGGATGGCCGAGGCGGCCTGCGGAGAGCGCCGCCCGCTTGTGCTCGGCGCCCTCCGGGCTGGAAGGCTCGAAAGCCGGGTTGTCCACGCCATCTTCGTTCATGGCGCACAGCCCAGGAAGGACCTGAAGCACCTGCCACCGACTTCCCCACCCACCACTGTCTCCGGAGACTCGAGGCCGCCGGGTCCCAGCAGCAGCAGCAGCCTCGGCGGCTCCAAGATCAGAGAGCGCGCGGAGAGAAATGGAAAGAGAACAGCAGGCGGTGTGGCAAGGAGACCGTCCCGGTTTAAGGAACCGGGAGGAGCTGCAGAAACCCGAGGATGAAACTCCCCGGGAGGTGGGGACCTCTTGGGGAGAGATGGCGAGCGAGCGTGGCTCTGCTGGAATGACCAGTTTTGTGTGTGCGCGCTTTTCCCCCCGCTCACATGGCCAAGGCGACGGTTGTCCTCGTTCGGCTCACCTGCGCGTGAGGAAAAGGCGCGCAGGGCGCAGCCTGAGGGGCAAAAGGCCACAAATAAGAACAACAGAACCACTTTCTTCCTGGTGGACGTCCCTCTTTCTCTCTCTCTCTCTCTCACACACTGCCTTCCAATAGTTTCAGATTCTTCAATGAATAAAAGAAATAAAGAACAGGGAACCTGTAGGTGTCACCAGCGTCCACGCTAAATGTTGCCTCTCCTAAGGTGTTTTTGTTTTTGTTTAGAACTGCCACTCAGCTCCCCATATTTCTTTCCTCATGAAACTCACAGCCCTTGCCATGTTGCCACATCCCTAAGCAGGTGAAGCGCATGTGAACATGTTGCAAACGGGTATGCGAGTATAGGCATGCCTAAGAAATATTTATTTAGCTCCTATGGAATCAATGGGCCAGGGGGAAACGTAATCCAGCTTTTTAAATGAATAAATAAAGCTGCCACAAATGGCAAGCAGAATGGGTTAAAAGAAGAAGAAATTAACTATTGCAGGAGAAGGAGCCCTTCTGGAATGTCACAGGCAGCCTGCTTGGTGACAGTTAAGAGTGGCAGTTGGTCAGGGACGCCATGGCAACCAGGCTGATTTGGACCAGGAGTAAGGCTGAGGGCACATTTGATGCTTGAAACACAGTGAGGTAGTTTCCCTGCCCCTGCTGGTTTCAAGTCGCTTTCTTACCATGTTCAACACACCAGAGAGATGGAGGGGGCATCTTCATTTGCTTGCCCAATACCTGATTTGTTCCTCTTGCCATTTGTGCACGTGTTGTCATCTGCGCATGCGCAACAGCTGCCTGAAATGTACGCACCTTGGCTCAACAGCTCCTTTGAGGGAAAGTACCTGAGTATTTCTCAAGAAGCCACAGGGTATAGATGGATTGTGGCTAACGCCATATGCATACAGCTGCAGACGCCAGTGGTGGGAGCACAATGGGGCCAGAGTAAACAGTAATGTGCACACAGCCCAAGGCATGACATATGGGGAGCCTTTGGCGCTCAGGTGTTGCTGAACTGCAAGTACCATCATCCCCTGGCATTGGCCATGTTTGCTAGGGCTGACAGGAGTTGTAGTTCAGAAATATCTGGAGGGTCAGAGGTTCTCGACTGCTGCAATCCACATTCCTTCTGAATATGATCATGAGATATCAATGCTATATCACCTCTAACCTTTGGGAAGAAAGGGAGTCCAGGTTTACAATATGGCTGCTTCCACTGATTTCATGTGGAATTACTGACAGATGTGAGGAATACTGAAGCTTGCTATGCTTTAATAAATGTACCGGTATGTGTTTCTCTCCCCCTCCTTGTTATCAGATGTGTTGGATATCCACTTTGATCTAAGTGTTGGCAAGACTCAAATTTTAAACAAATTGTATCTGATCCTTCAAGTTACTAGCTCAGCTCAGCTCAGTTACTAGCATGAGACTTAATCTCAGGTGGGTTCGAGCCCCGCGTTGAGCAAAAGACTCCTCCATTGCAGGGGGTTGGACTAGATGACCCTCTTGGTCCCTTCCAACTCTACAATTCTATGTTTCTAAACATGGAAAATAGGCATAATTTGCTTGTATCACTGGTGGATGCTAGCAAAGTCTCTTGTGAGGGCTTTTTTCCTGTGGATTTTTCTTTTCTGTCTTTTGCTGTTGGTTGTTGACTTTAAGTATTATATACGCATTGTATTTTTAATGGTGTTGTGCTTGTAAGCCTCCCAGGGGATAATTGTTGATTGGCAGCTGTTAATTTGTGGCCCGCTGTGACCCTTCTTGGGTTGCTTGTTAAACTGGAAAATTAAGTCTCCCACTTAGAAATGACAGACAGGTATGATCACAGTTAATGTTTAGCTTCCTATTGTTAGATCGGGAAGGGACAAGCTCTTCAGATAGGTTATCACCTCTCAACCCAGTTATATAGACACCCTGAGTTTGATAAGACAGGAAACCAACTTTTTTTTAGTCTTTGCTTTCATTTTAATCATTAAACACTCATAAAATCGGTTGCTTTCCACCATAACAACTAGGAATGTTTTCAATCTGAAAACAGACTTTCTTTCCAATACAAGAACTCTCCTCAGGACCTCCATCCTTCTCTTCTATCACTCTCTGTCGCTGAAGAGGAACCCACCTACTACATCAAATGCAAAACTCACAGAAATATGAACAAATATTGCACGCACTCTCACTGACCGGTCAACCCGCCTGTCAGGGGCTCAGGAGCAGAGGGACAGGAGAGGGAGGAATTAGAGACCGAGGGGGAGGAATCCGAGGGAGAAGTTAGCGATGATAGCCGCCCGAGGTCTCTAAGTCTCTCCAGCGAATCGGAGGATTCACAGAAAGGGGCTCCCGTGGTCAGAGCTAGGGGGTTGCCAGAGGGAACACCCCAGGAAGGAGGGGCCAGAGGGGACTCAGAGAGCAGCAGTTGGAAATCGGGACCAGCTGCCCCACCGGAGAGCAGTAGGGGGGAGGAGTCCCAGGCATCGGCATCAGGCAGCTTTCCGTCAGCGGAAGGACATGAGTCAGGGTTAGCCACGCCTGCATCAGAGAGTGAGGAAACGGTCAAAAGGAAGGTCGGAGGCAGCGCGCGCGCGCCAAGTTCAAATGTACAAGAGGGTGGCGCAATGAGCAGCCCGGATAGGGAGCCAGGTCCTAAAGCCCGCCGAAGGGAGGGCGAAGAGTCCGAGGGGTCCGCTTCCGAAGCGTCCAGGAAGGAAGGGACCCCGGGGGGTGGTAGGACCCAGAGGCGTAAGGAGAGACGGAAAAGGTGGAGTAAGGCTAGAGTCTTAAGCTGGTGTACAGGGGGCAGAGATTCAGACGGAGCTTCGTCGGTCTAGGCTCTAGACCTAGAGATGCACGCTAGGGTTTGAACATGGAAACTATGCTTCAATAAAGACTTTTGTACAGTTCAACTGGCTAGCGTTGGTCCTCTGTGAGCTGGGACCTGGAGGCAGTCTCTGACACCGCCACTCTCTTTCCTCTTCTCCTATATTCTTCTTTCAAGCTCAATCACAAGCTCCTTTCTCGGGGTGATCTACTCTCTTTCTCCTGTTCTAGCAATCTCCCTTTCTTTTCCTAAAGCAAGTGGTTCAAGTCAATGTCCATTTTCTTTCTGAGAACACCTTCACTCATTCAGCCACAGGCTCCCCTCTCCTTCCTGTCAACATCTCTGTCGCTTCCCCCATCTTTCCCTGGGCAATTTCACAGCATCCTCCTTTCTCCGTGGATGCTGATAGCTTCACTCCTTTGAAACGTAGCCTGTTTGGTCATGTATCGCTTATCGTAGAATCAAAGAAACATGGAATTCTAGAGTTGGAAAGGACGCCAAGGGTCATCCGGCTTGAATTTACAATCCTGAGATTAAGCGTCTCATGCTCTACCAACTGAGCTACTTGTTATGAATATCTGTGTTAACTGATTCTGCCTTACATCATTTAAATAAATATGCTGATTCACTTTTATTACAGTAAATTGCTTGAATTATTAATTGGTGGTATTCTTTGACTTCATAAATCTTTAAACTTTCTGTTTCTGGAAATGCCCTGGTCTCAGTGTCATAAGATCCTAAAATGGGTGTCATATGGTTACATATGAGAACTGCAGGCTTGCATGCAAACTACACATATAACCTTTTATTAATCGGAAGCATGGGAACTGAATACTGTATATCTATGCAGGGGCAGATTTAGGTTTGATGAGGCCCTAAACTGCAGAAGGTAATGGGGCCCTTTATATATCCAGCTATCCTTTGTCAGGGACGCGGGTGGCGCTGTGGGTAAAAGCCTCAGCGCCTAGGGCTTGCCGATCGAAAGGTCGCGGTTCGAATCCCCGCGGCGGGGTGCGCTCCCGTTGCTCGGTCCCAGCGCCTGCCAACCTAGCAGTTCGAAAGCACCCCCGGGTGCAAGTAGATAAATAGGGACCGCTTTCTAGCGGGAAGGTAAACGGCGTTTCCATGTGTGCTGCACTGGCTCGCCAGAGCAGCGATGTCACGCTGGCCACGTGACCCAGAAGTGTCTCCGGACAGTGCTGGCCCCCGGCCTCTTGAGTGAGATGGGCGCACAACCCCAGAGTCTGGCAAGACTGGCCCGTACGGGCAGGGGTACCTTTACCTTTACTTATCCTTTGTCAACAACAAATTGTCACTGTTTTTTGTGTTGAATATATGCTATAGGGTAACATGGACCTAATAGGTATCTAAAGCCATTTGCACATAACAAAATATGTATTTTATCGAAGTAATTGTTGAACTGAAATACAATTAAGAAGAAGTATATTAATAGTGAAATTGGGGGGGGGCAAGAGAGTGGGACCCTAAGCTATAGCTTGTTTAGCTTATACATAAATCCGGCACTGTATAATATATGTTTGGTTTTTGCACTTGCAAACACATGCACACATATATCTAGGAAGGGCTGGGGAGGGTAGTAGGTATGTGAGGGTTGTTTTCCCTTCTCTGTCCAGCCCTCTTCAGCTGTCTCTTGCACATCCATCCCCATCTGCATAAAGTAGGATTAGTTCCTCTGCAGCCCAGTCCCATTCCAGAGCCTGGGGAAAGAGAAAGGGAGGCTGGGAAGGAAGAGAATGGGTTTGTTAGGACAGTGTTAACTCCTTCCCCACTTTGGCCATCCATGGCTCCTGAAGTGTCATATGATAAGCCAGGTCTGTATGTTCCAAGTTTTTCCTCTGCTGCTGTGGCTTTACCTGTCCTACACCTGAGGCAATATGACACAAAGGGAGGGAAAGTGGCCATGCCTAGCCCTTCCCCAAAAGCCAGATTCGTGTGGCTTAGTGGGCCTAATTTGTCCTGCAGGTTGAAGGCTTCCCTCTGCTGCTTAGGAATATCACACCTGTCCTCCATGATTATGGATTTGTCCAATCTTTTATAAAAGTGATCTCAGGATTGAAGAATGCATCACATGG